GCAAACCATTTGTCTCTGAGGCAACAAGAGGATTTACACAGACTCAGAGTGTGGTAGGGGTTGGAAGGGACCTCTAGAGATCATCTAGTCCAACCCCCCTGCCACAGCAGGATATTTACACTCCACTCTTCTAGTCAGGTAATTAAGTTAAAGCATCCACCAGAGTTCCTTGTCTGGTTAACTAGTATTTTACAGCATAATAAATAGATAAACTGGTACAGAAAACCACCTACTTGGATGTCTCTGAGCTGTGTGAATGGATGCTTACATATTTCATTTGACTGACACTGGTGTAAAATGTTTATAAAAATAAGAAAGTTTTGTTAAAGCATGAAACACAGTACGGCCTACAGATATGTTGTGTTCTTTGTAGAACCAGGAAGTGTGAGGATCCGGATCTTACAGATCTTAAATTTAAACTTAAAAGGGAGGCTGCAAATAGTTAATCCAGCAGTGAGGATGGATTAGCTCTGAAATACAGATTGTTTGCATTCTAGGGCTAGGAGCTAGAGGCAGGCTTTTCATTGTTACTGTTTTATGATGTATGAAGAACAACTGAAAGGTTTTAACAGGTTTCTCTATTGTCTACGAGGAATGGCATATCTGTTCTCATATGGTTTTGTGAAAGCACTTTGTAATGTGAACTTTCTCAGAAGCACAATTGTTATATCTTTAGGAAAGGGAGATTTTGTTCCAGTTCTTAAGTGTGCATTAATAAAATTACAAAGTAGTCTAAGCAATCCATAAAAGCTCACTTCTCATCTGTTAATCAAGTTTCATTTGCTTAGTATTTGGGACATCTGAATCTTTCAAGTGGTATATAGTCTTCCAGCAAAGACCTGCTCTGAATTTCTAAGTAAAATGAGCTAATAAATGAACAAAACCCATCTTCCTCTTCCCAGCCCCTTTGGGTCTATGCAGCTTCCTCTTAAGAGACTGTAGAAGGATGTATAAAAAGAGAAAAAAAGGTCACATTTAACATTTGAGAGTTGTTTATATGCATGTTTGAAGGTAACAAGTTTGAAAATAATCGAGCCAGATGGGTGGGCAGAAAAATTTTCACGTGGCAAAATATGACAGGAATGAAAGGACAAGTTGAACCAGGGACATAAGGTTTTACTGTGAGGGCATACGTGCAAATCCATGAAACCTGAATAATCTTTTTATTTCACATACAAACTTAGCTGAGAGTTTCAGTGATAATCAGTTTGCGCAGCTTTATAACATTAAAAGCATTTAAAGAGTCCTGGCAGGTAGGGATGAACAGTACCTGAGATGAGTTGCAAAGTATTATCCAGCTTACAAATAAAAGTAGGTTGTTACAGTAGGCTTTCCAGGGAATATATCTGTCATAAAGTGTAGGTGCAGGTTTTGACTGATTTAATAGCAAGAAATTGTTGATTTTCCAGCATATAGAAATATACAAACCTAATAAATCAAAGTGGAATTAATATGTGGAATCAGGCTTTGCTTCATATATAAAAAGTGCCAGCATTTTTAGGTGTTTGATATAAGTATGTAAATCTTCTCATTATAGATTTGTTTGTTCCCTACTGATATCTCAATTGAATTCTTCCATATTGCCTCAAAGCTGAATGAATTAATCTAACTGCCATTAAATATTTTAAACTTCACAAAGAGAAACTCTATAGACATATGAAAGGGAATAAATTTCTTCATGATACAAGCATATAAATTATGATGACTGAGATTATAAATTATGATAACAAGACCATGTCTTGTTACTGCAACATCAGTAACCTGATGGTAGAAAACTATTAATAATTGACCTAAAATGGAACAGCACAATCATCTGTATTTCATGATATCAGGTGGAGAATCCCCTCACAATGGAGAAAAATGAGCTATTTGAAAGAAATATGATAAAAACATTCCAGTGTGAGGTCCTGCTTCTGAAAAACTGAGGAAACATTGATTAACCATTGCAGGAAAGCGTAGTGTGAGATCGGAAAAAACATACTTAATAAAGGAAAAATGATTGACAAATAATTCTTTGTAATCATGGAGGGAAAGATTATAGAAGTGCTTACACTGTATCTGGAGCTATTTGGTAAATTGCTTTTCTTCTCTTACAAAAGGCATCTAAGAAATTGCAATATAAAAATACACATATTTTAGCTTTTACAGATTCTTCTGCAAAGAGAGAGCAACTCAAACCAGCTATAATTTAGGGCACCCATGTAATTGAGAGCAGAGCTTAAGCTCATTGGCCCTAGAAATAGGTGATAAAATCTTGCTTCTTGATTCTTACTGAGGCAGAGGCGGTATCTTTCTGCAAGCATTTGAATAAATAAGTGCTTTTGGATGCAGCCGGGGTGGGGGGTT